TCTGAGTGGAAAAGGAAAAGAAAGGCTGATCTCTATTATGGACCATGATATAGCTGTCATTACAATAATCCAGTTTTGTGATTTTCAGTACTAGAACTTGATTATCTTTAGATATATGAGTTGAAAAAGCAAATGACTGAACTAGAGTGAAAAGCAAAAGTAGGGAACGACAAAAAACAAGGAAATTTTATTTCTTCTTCTTATATATATATTATTTTAGGCAAGGAAATTTTAGATACTGGTGTAAATAATAAACCAAGCAGTGTGGCTAGACAAGAAAGTTAATCTATGTAGAGGATGATGATGATAAAATAGTAGTCAAGGGGCAGGGCCTTTATGAGGTCACATTAAATATAGAAAAATAAGAAAGAAGGAGAGATGAATAAACAAAGATGAGAGGACAATGCTGGAGTGTAGGATTTTTAATATGAAATAGTCTTAGACATTCAGGTCCCACAGACAGTCATTTCAGGTGCTGGAACTGTGTGATACACATGACTGCCTTAATCCCACCATGATCTTATAGGACTTGAGTAATGAACGCTTAGTTGGGCGCTAAATTCATTAATAAAAGTGAGTGAGTGACCAGGGAGCCGATAAATGATGGTGAAGAGGAAGGTAGATGGTAATTAGATGAGGGTTTCTGTTGTTTTACAAGGGCAGGATGGAGGAGCCTAGCAACGGCAAGGAGGAGATGGAGCATATCAATGCCCTCTGAGGTATGTGGGGCATGACTTCCAGTGTTGAGATGCTAGAAAAACAGTGACCTTATGGGAGAGTCAGGTTCCAAATATCAGAAGGAAGATGTTCTGTAAGAAGATAGATAGGGATAGGGGTGTCTGGGTGGCTGTCAGTTAAGCATCTGCCTTGGGCTCAGGACACGATCACAGGGTCCTGAGATCAAGCCCCACATCGGGCTCCCTGCTCAGTAGGATGTCTGCCTCTCCCTTTCCATCTGCCTCTCAACCAGCTGATGCTTTCTCTTGCACTTTCTCTCTCAAATAAATAAATAAAATCTTTTTAAAAAGATGGGTATAAAGAGGAGTTTATTTACATCACATACGGGGTGTCCAGAGAAAGAGTTAATATCTCTGGAAGAAGGTTGACAATCAGATGATCAACAGAGAAACTATGGGGCTAAGGCTTTAAGAAATGATCAGTGTGATTACCAAGTATGATGGAAACTAGAAGAAGGGTGGGATTTACTGATCTCTGATAAATAAAACTCTTATAATACTGTTTCAGTATCAAGCTTCCAGAGACACTAGGACTTTATTTGGTTGCTGAGGTTAAACAACAGTGTTAGTTTTATTGACTACATTATTTAAAAGTAAAAAGGACTTCAAGAAACTCAGGCAATCAATGAATCTCAGAATAAAAAGATTAATGATGTTTATACTCATCTGTCATTAATATGGACTTTCAGAAAATAAGATTAAAGCTTACAATCTCATGAGAAACTCACAAATTTCATTCCATGAAGAACGAAAGAAATAGTATGGAACATAAGGCAGTATTTTGATCTCTAGATGGTATGTTTATAAAATACTGCTTGAAAATACAAATCTGTTCTGAATATTTACATTATACAGTGAGGTTGCAGCTTAAATTCACCCAACGTTTGGCAAGAATCAATATGACAGTACTGTGCTACCAATTTTAGACCTCAAAGACTTTCTTTCATCCCCATACAGAGCTATAGCTGTCCTCATGGCAGACCCTCTGGTTTTGTGATAGAAAAGCTCTAAAATAGAGCAAACGAGTGGAGGAAAACATATATGATAGGACTAAGAATTCCAAATTATTTTGAGTATGAATATAATGGAATCAGGAGTAAAAATCCTCAGTGTGATTATTTCGTCACAATATATATAATACCTATTAAGATTCATATAGCAAGGAACAGAATTTTACTTGGAAAAAAACTGGATCCAAAGTATAATCATCAGGAACTGACCTTCTAACAGAGGAAAATTTCTCAAAGAAAAAAATAATAAGGCAGAGAGCTTAATAAAAGAGTATTCCACTCTTCAAAAAATGAGAGGGACACCTGGGTGGCTCAGTCAGTTAAGCATCTCCCTTCCACTCAGGTCATGATATCAGGGTCCTGAGATCAAGCCCTGGGTTGGGCTCCCTGCTCCACAGGGAGTCTGCTTCTCCCTTTCCCTCTGCCTCTTCCCCTGCTTGTGCTCTCTCTCTCTCAAATAAATAAATAAAACTTAAAAAAAAAAAAGAGTATTCCATCAGAAGAAGTGAAGAGGACATTTTTTTAAAAACTCGTTAAAATACTGCATAATTTAAAGGGGCAATAGTACATTTTTTAATTCTTGTTTTTAAAGATTTATTTATTTATTTTAGAGGGCGGGGGAGAAGCACAGGGAGAGAGAGAATCTCAAGCCAACTCGCAACTAGTTCATTTAGAGGCTTTAGGATCTACAAAGCATTTTTCCTATTTCACAGTCACATTTTACCATAATCCCAGGTGGGCGGTAGGACAGGGTATATACTATGATCACTCAGGCTACTCAGATGACAAAACTGCAACTCACGAAGTTAGGGGACTATAGGGAGATCTGAAGTGGTGTCATTTTCTGAGGCTCACATTATGGAAGGTAACCAGGATTTTTAACAAAATAGTCCTTCATAGCACTGCCTGGCAACATTCAATCGGATGTTTTATTCTGGAAACAAGTAATATACTGAACTAAGTTCCTTCCTCTCATTTACCCTCTACAGCCAGAGTTACAAATTCAAATGCCAGGCTGGTTGACATACCTAAGTAAAACATGGCCCAAATAAAGAAATGATAAAATAATAAAAAGTCAACCAATGCTAAGTCTCAGTGCTGTGGAGGCTAAAGAGGGATGGGAAACTGGAGAGGCTTACTCTTCATAGAGAAGACAGCTGCAAATCATTTATTATTGCCATGTACAGATCTGGTTTCCTAAATCCGATTTTTCAAGAAACCTAGATTTTCATGTGAAAGGTCCAGACCTTTAAAGGACAGCAACCTAAAAAAAGAAAAAGAAAAAAAAAAAAAGAAGAAGAAGAAGAACTGAAGGAAACACTTTGGCAAGTAAGATTTAGATGAGTAGTCAGTGAGATATCTGCTGGACGAATACTATTTTCCTTTAAACTTGAAAATATTTAAGGTTGGGGCACCTGGGTAGCTCAGTGGTTGAGTGTCTGCCTTTGGTTCAGGGCATGACCCTTGGGTCCTGGGGATCAAGTCCTGCATCAGGCTCCCTAAAGGAGGCCTGCTTCTCCCTCTGCCTGTGTGTCTGCCTCTCTCTGTCTCATGAATAAATAAATAAATAAAATCTTAAAAAAAGTAAATATTTAAGGTTGATTTTTTAACCCACTTTTTTTTGTTTTTTTTTGTTTTTTGTTTTTTTAAGATTTTACTTATTTATTCATGAGAGATACACAAAGAGGCAGAGACACAGGCAGAGGGAGAAGCAGGTTCCTCACAGGGAGCCAGATGTGGGACTTTATCCCAGGACCAGGATCATGCCCTGAGCCAAAGGCAGATGTTCAACCAATGAGCCACTGAGGAATCCCTTTTTTTTACCCCTCTCAATTAGATCTCAAGTCCTACACTACCTCATTTTAGCCTATTCATTCTTCGGGCCTATATACTTTATAACACACATGAAAGGGTAGTTATAACAATACATCTCAGTAATTACACATCATTTGTATTTTTAAAAACAGTACCCCTGCTGGGGCACCTGGGTGGTTAAGCCCGTTAAGCTTCCCACTGTTGATTTCTGCTCAGGTCATTATCTCAAGATCATGATCTCAGGGTCCTGAGATGGAGCCCTCCATGTGGCTCCGAGCTCAGCGGAGAGTCAGCTTGAGATTTTCTCCTCCCTCTCCTTCTGCCCTTCCCCCACACCCCTCTCTAAAATAAATACTTAAATCATAAGAACAAACAAACAAACAACAACAACAAAAAAAAAAAAACCAAAAAACCCCACCCAGTTGTCCTGTATAATAATTCGAGAAATTAGGTGGATTTAAGGAACAGCACAGATTACATGTTATTTGCATATGCACTCCTATTCTACGTAACCTATAACATTGCTACTTAAGGAAAAAGTATTGACTCTTTCCTTCTTTCACCACTACCATTGCTCCTAAATTCTCACAGCAGAAGAGCCGTAGAAATTCAAGACGGGAGACCCATTAAGGATTTTATTCAGAATCCCAAGCCGGCCAAAGGATTTCGAGGCCTGGACACATCTCGCGGTAGGCAGTCACTTAGATGATAATGCGGCAGCAACGAGTTCTGGGTCTACGTCTGCCACAACGTACCGACATGCCCTGGGACATGCTTTCTTCCCGTCCACATCTCCCCTTTCCCAAATACACAAGGCCGTGGGAAGTTTCAACCGCCTCCTGAGGTCCCCCGGAATCCCAGCGCCTAGCACGACGCCCGCTGCACAAAGCAGCGGGGAAACGTCAGTGGAACGTGTGGATGCGCGCAAGCCTCTCTCCTTACCGGCAGGTTTCCTCACTTCATCCCTCCGCCAGTCTCCCGGGACAAGTTTCAAGACACAGAACATTGTACTTAACTCGTTATTTTAACTCGGGGTGAGTCGCTGGGAAAAGAAAATAATGCAAGCTGTTTTCGTTTATTAAGCAAAGATGACACGACACGAGCGCGCAGGTCCTGCGTGCCCTGATTCAACGCGTTTAAGAGCATTACCTTGGTTATACTCCTAGCAAGCGCCGGAAAGAGAACGAACCCCTGGCATCGGATGCGGCATCTGATGCCACCTCCCAGGACGACTGAAGTCCAAGAAGCCCTCTGCTCCCGGCGCGGTGGCGGAGGGGCGTGCCCGGGGGTGCCCGCGGGTGCCCGCGGGTGCCCGCGGGCGCCCGCAGCGCCCCCTCCGCGCCGCCCGCGCCGCCCGCCGGCAGGGGACCGCAGGGGACCGCAGGGGACCGCAGGGCGCAGCTGGACCGCGGACAGCCGGCTCGCGGCCGGGGCTCACCCGTTGGGGACGCTGTTCTTCTTCACCATGATGCCAGAGGTGCGGGGCTTCCACGCGCCGGGACACGCCGCTCTCGGGCCGCCTCCAGAACAGACCACTCGGGCTCCCAACCCAGACGCCGGGTGAGCAGAGCGGCTCTCCTGCAGGCGCTGCAGGCCCAGCCCGGGGCGGGAGTGACACACTCCGACGCCTCGGCTCGAGTCCCAGTCCCGGTGGCCGGCGAACAGACGTAGCGCACCGAAGATTCCCGAAGGCGCACGCTCCGCGCTCGCAGGGACCCCACCGGCTCAGGGGCCGCATCGCGCATGCTCCGGGACCGCCTTGACGTCAATCCCCGAGGAGGGAGCGCTCCGCGGGCGGCGGGCGCGGCGCCGAGAAGCCTTACGGGGCGGTTGGTGACCTCTCCGAATCCGCGGTAAATGGTGCGTCCTTCCTTAACTGCTCATAAATAGCAAGAGTGCACTGCCCTCCAGGTGAATGTTATGCTGCCTGCTAAAGCCCCCCCCACCCTTCCCTGTCACCCACCCCGGTATCTTGTCCGGTTGGAGCCCTGCCCTGTGCACTAAACCAGCGGTAGGTAGCCCCCTATCACCAGACCAGGCCCGCACAGGCCGCTGGGACTTGTAGTCCCCAGAACCTGGTCCACCGTCCGTCCCGTTTCACAGCATTCCGGAGTCGTGCTTGGTTTGCGTCGACATCCAAGACCACGTTATTTATTGAGTGCCATTTTGTGCAGAACATCCTGATAGGGTTGGTGGAGGGTAGATGAGTTCGCACCCCAGCTCTTGTCTTCTTCCCTTTAGGGTAGGCAGAAAGGTGAACTTGCAAAGCAGGATGTAGTGGACGAAAATTACAATCACGATGCCTTTGGAGATCACACAAGGGTCAGAGGCAGAAAAACATTTCCTGGAAGATGTGGCGTTTGTATCAGGCTTTGAGACGTGGATTGCTGTAGGTTAGAGGAAAGTTGCAAACGTCGAAGGATGGATGTGGCAAGGAGTGTGAAGGACGGTGATCAGGCTATAGTCAAGGTTTTATGTTGGAGAGTGCTGAGCAGGACTTAGGTTGGGAAGTTGACACGGCGGTCTTTTGGCCTCATCCTCAGGAAGGGCCTCATTTTGACTTTCTCTCCAGTTGAGATTCTGACTATAGACACTGAGATATATTGTCAAGTTTACATAATAAAGACAACATCACCGGACTTACCTGTGTCCAGTTTTTGGGCATTATTGGCCATGTTGTTCTATGAATTAATACATTTTTATGAATCCTGTAATTAACTTGGTAGTGGCACAATCACATTTCATTGTGTGTTAGATATAAACTTTAAAAATATACCGCAGCTTTTGTAACCTCTTGGCATTTATCAATCTTTATGCACCTAAGGCCCCAAGGGAAGTGAACCCAAATCTTTCTTGACCTATAAGAACAGGTTATGGTGAGTTGAGGACTTAGTTCTATGTATGGTGGATGATTTAGTTTTGATGCCTTTCAAAGAATTATATATAAATTCACAGAAAATCGTTTGTCAGGCCACTTGTTTACCAGTTTTTTTTTTTAAAGAAAATAAGATTATAGTTAACAAAAAAGTATTCATTTTCAAATTTGTGAGATGACAAAACACTTGGAGTCACGATGCTTTCTGTAAAACATTGTGAAATAATGCTATTATATTTACCTAATGGTAGAATTTCTTTTTGTTAAATTCCACCTTTTCTATACCTTTTACCAGTATGTATGCCATATATTTAATAAATTTAGTTTTTTTTCAAAATGCTAGCAATTGCCTTTAATTTTACCATAACTTTGAACAAGCCTTTAAATTTTTTGTGTAGTATCACAGTGCAAATCAAAGAAGTCTGGAAAAGCATGCTTTGAGAAACACTGCTTGCTATAATGGAGTTCAGAAAGGACTGGTCTTACTATGTGATAATAAATGAACTAAAATAAAGATAAAGTTGGATTTAGGACTGAATTCCTAAGGAAGGAAGGAAGGTGGATTGAAGCATTTGGAACGATTTCCAAGAGCTGGGAGAAAGCTAAAAGAAAAACAAATTTCTAGTTAGTTCATAATTAACAAAAGAAATGTTACCAAATATCGGAACGTGCATATTGTGACCATTCCACATACTAGAGGTTTTTCTGTAATTTTATTCTGCTAAAACTCCTGACACCAAATGGCATGTGACAGAGTTAACCAAGGTGATTGTTAAATTTACACACAACATAAAATTTCATTTCAGGAATCACCATAATGATAAAGGTACAACTGGATAAATTTGTAGAACCAGAGATTTCTGAATGCTAAGCAAGAGGCAAACATTTACACACATAAATTACCTTAGCTTTGCTATGGATCAGAAAGGCTGAATGAACTACTTGACTTTAATTCTTAGGTTTTGATTATGAACCTCCAGGTCAACTGATACAAAAATAGCTAATCCTCAATTTCCTTACCCTTTAGAAAGACCTTTAACGGGCAGCCTGGGTGGCTCAGTGGTTTAGTGCTGCCTTTGGCAGGGGTGTGATCCTGGAGACCCGCGATCCAGTCCCTCGTCGGGCTCCTTGCATGGAGCCTGCTTCTCCCTCTGCCTGTGTCTCTGCCTCTCATGAATAAATAAAATTTTAAAAGAAAACCTTTATAAGAATTATAAATTAACAATAACCTTGAGTAGAAGATTAGGTTTTACTGTTGGAGCCAGTTTTTCAATAAAAAGAATAGAATTGCTGTTAGAAGGTGAAAGTCTGAATTACCATTTTTCCTTACTTCTGCAAGATTTTCAGAAAAGCAAATTCAGGGGCTCCTGGGTGGCTCAGTCGGTTAAGATCCTGGGGTCATGGGATCCAGTCCTAAGTCCAACTCCCTGTTCAGCCCAGAGCTTGCTTCTCCCTCTCCCTGTGCCTGCCACTCTGCCTACTTGCATGTGCACTCTTTCTCTCTCTCTGTCAAATAAGTAAATCTCTAAAAAAAAGCAAATTAAATTTTTTTCTAGATCTTCAATTTTATTTATTTTGTTTTATTATTTTGTCTATAATCATTTGTTTATCTTGTATCATTTAGGGAATGATAAGTGAACCTGGTTAGAAACATTTCCAGATCTATAAAATAATATCTTGTTAAAAATTTCTTATAGGATAATTTATTATAAAATAAAATTATAATAAAAATTATTATAATTTATCTATAGGATGTACTATCACTAATGTTTCCCCTAGTTTAGCAGATGTAGGTATCAGTAAGCCAGGTATTGATTTGAAGTTCATTTAAGACATTCTTGCAGAAAGCAAAGTAACTTAAAAATTCTCTTTTCCTGGCATCATATTCCTGTTGTGCCTAGTTTTGCTATGTTAGTAGGAAAGATTCTTAAAGATATTTTAAGGGGTATTCTATCAATTTCCTAAATGTCTATTTATGATTAAAGAAAGAATTTAGGCCTGATTTTCTTCTGTTCTTCTGTTCTCTTCTATACAGTATTTTTAATCATCTTCTGGATTTCTCACCTGAATGTCCCGTAAACATCCATTAGCAACATCCAAAAACTGGATTTATTGACCCCTACCCCAACTATGTTCCTACTTTGACAATACTTGAAATGACATTACCTTGCAGTGACTCAAACCAAACACCTGGAGTCCTTGATTCTTCCCTCACTGTCCTCTACATCTAATTGTTCGTTGTGGAATCTTGTGATTTCTACCTTTTAAATGAAATTTTCTCCACCTTCCGGTCCCACTTCCATTTTTGATTCAGATCTCTAGCACCTCTCATTGGGACTATTATAATGGCCTCTTAATCAATCTCCATGCCTCTGTTGAATATCTCCAAGTTTAATCAGACATTTTTTCTCACTAAAGTTTTGTATTTTTTGGAGGGTTCCCACATATTTTAATTGTAGTTATTCCTAGGTATTTCGAAAAGATTTTTGTTGTATTGCTATTATGAAACTGATCTTTTTCTATTATGTTTACATACAGGGAAGCTATTAATTTACACATATAGTCCTCTTGATTCTGCCACCTAACTTTCTGATTGTGTCTAAACTTTGTGTGTGTGTGTGTGTCTAAACTTTTTGATTGTCGGGGATCCCTGGGTGTCTCAGTGGTTTAGCACCTGCCTTCGGCCCACGTTGTGATCGCATGATCCTGGGGTCCTGGGATCGAGTCCTGCATCAGCTCCCTGCAGGGAGCCTGCTTCTCCCTCTGCCTATGTCCTTGCCTCTCTCTCTCTGTGACTCTCATGAATAAATTTAAAAAATCTTAAAAAAAAAAGAAAGTAGAAATGAAAGAACCATCATGAAAAGGATTTCAAAGAAAATATGAAAGAAAAGGTATTAATGGAGTTTATAAGGATCTTGATTATACTAATGGTCCAATTATAAATGTAGGATAATCCTGAACAGTGTGATATATTTGGTTCTATATTTTAATCATATAGTTCACATTTAAAAAAATAGTAAGTTTAAGAATGAATTATAGTCTTTGATGTGTTAGTTATGCAGGAGTATTAGAGGTGGGTTGTTTATTAATCCCCTTATGTAAATATTAATTCATTTACCTGTTCTCTCAGCCAGCAGTCCATTTTCTGCTTTGTTAAAAAAAAAAAAAGTTTTCCCTTTTTTTAGTCAGTGAACAAAACATTTACAGGGCCAATATCTATATGTCTTTTGGAGTAACTCCAGTTAAGACTCATATTTTATCCCTGCCTTCTAGATGGGGATGGCAAGTTATGTGCAGAATCCTGGGAATGCTATGTGAAATTATTGGAAATTAAAGGGAGACCTCTATCAGTCACTTGCCAGGGTTATTTCCTCACACCTTTCCTCACACCAAGGGATTGCTGTCTCTTGATCAAGAATAGAATTAGGTGGGCAGCCCCGGTGGCTCAGTGGTTTAGCGCTGCCTTCAGCCCAGGGCATGATCCTGAAGTCCCGGGATGGAGTCCCATGTCAGGCTCCCTGTGTGGAGCCTGCTTCTCCCTCTGCCTGTGTCTCTGCCTCTTTCTCTGTGTCTCTCATAAATAAATAAAATCTTAAAACAATTTTTTAAAATAGTACTGAAGAAGATACTGAACATCTCTCATTCAATAGTTCTTAAGTGTGATACAGGAAGCACTGGTAGATTTTGAAGTTCTTTCAGAAAATCTGTAGACTAGGCTCTTATTGTGATAATGTCTTTTACTTTAATTGTTATTTAAAGAGTCTTGGGACGCCTGGGTGGCTCAGCGGGTGAGCATCTGCCTTCAGC